AGTCACTCAGGTTTTAGATTACATGTTCCACGTATTCGACACAACGATACAGGGATTCATTTGTATCAATGCAATTCTTCTTCTTGAAAGCTAGTCGTCGTTAGACATCGCGCATTTCACTAATTTCCGCCATTCGGTGCGTTTTTGAGCAAGTGCGTGCATAGACCCGTGTGTGAAAAATCTGGTTTCCTTCTTGATGTTGGCCATCCATGTTGTTGTCGGCCGCCCTGCGGACGTTTTACCTTTCGCTCTGCTTCGTGGTATGCCAGTCTAGCTGGAGTGTGTTCATCTAAGCGGAGCAGGTGCCCATACCATTATCAGCCTTCTTTTCTTTACTTTCTTACTCCATTCTTCTTCCCCTGGCTTTCTATATAACTCGTCATTCCTTATTTTCTCTGGCCTCTTTATACCTAATATTCTTCGTAGAAACTTTCGTTGGAACACATCTATTTCATTCTCTAACAATTTTGTCATTGTCCAGAGTTCGCTGTTGTATAGGCAGATACTGGTGACATATACATTGAAGACTCTTACTTTCAATTTGGTTGTTATTTTCTTATTTTGGATTATACCACTTATTTTAGAGAAAGCTGCTAGAGAGAGGTGTTTTCTGTTACTGATGTCTTCTGTTGTTCCCAACTTGCTGCCTAAAAATTTACAATTTCGCCAATCTTCATTTCCTTTCCTTTGTATGGTATACTCTTCCGTTTTGGATGCGTTTACCGTTAAGTTGTAGTCTCTAAGTTGAGGTGGCAGTTCTTTCTTTATTTCGTTTACGTATTCTTATGATGTAGATATCCTTGAAATGTCGTCGGCATATTGAAGGCTCAATGTGAAAGTGTATGTCGGATATTGTTGTTGTTGTTCATATGTTTGTATTATGCATGTTAAGTATGTGGTGAAGAGGATAGGGCTAAGGCAATCTCCTTGTGGAACCCCAATATTTGATATAATAGGGTCACCTAATTCCTTTGCTATCCTTACTTTTAGTTCTACTTGTTCTATTAATATTTTAATGAGGTTTAGTTCTTCAGGTTCTAGATTTTGTGATATAATCTCGATGAGTTTTTTCCTATTCACTCTATCAAAAGCGCTGCTCATGTCTAGCATAAGAAGAGTAAGCTTGTACTCAGATGAGGTAATGGCTTTCTCTGCAAGAAGATGTTCGGTAACACTTCTCCCTTTGGTGTATGCTGCTTGAGAGAGCGGAATAACGCTCCTAAGTTTATCCCCTATCCTCTGTATAAGACAGATAGCTAAAATCTTTCTGATGGTGTTCAAAAGGACAACTGGCC